TGTTTTTTTGTTTTTTTGATACAAAGTCTTGCTCTGTTGCCCAGGCTGGAGTGCGGTGGTATGATCTTGGTTCACTGCAGTCTCTGCCTCCCAGGTTCAAGTGATTCTCCTACCTCAGCCTCCTGAGTACCTGGGACTACAGGTGCACGCCACCATGCCCGGCTCATTTTTTGTATTTTTAGTAGAGATAGGGTTTCACTATGTTGGCCAGGATGGTCTCAATCTCCTGACCTTGTGATCTGTCTGCCTCGGTTCCCAAAGTGCTGGGATTACAGGCGTGAGCCACTGCGCTCGGCCCCAACACTCTTTAAAATAAAATAAGTTGGTTAAAAAAAAGAAAGATATAGAAAATTTCAACTATAAAATTCACCAAGTGACCTGATAAACATTTATAGAATACTGTATTCAAAAACTGCAAAATATACTTAATTTTAAAGACACAAATAATAAAAATAAAATATAAAAATAAAGCTAAAAATCAATAAGAATATAACCAGAATATCTTACAGTTTAAAATTAAGAAATACACTCCTAAATAACTAATAGTTTAGAGAAGAATTAAGAACAAAAAATTAGGAAGCATTTTGAACTGAATGATAAAAATTCTATATATCAAACTTATGAGTGCATTTAGAGCCTTCTAAAGAGGAAATGTATAGATTTCTATGTATATTTTGCTACTTTCAAATTTAAAATTGGCCAAATAATAGGATTTGATATCTTGGAAACATAAAAACATGGAATGGCCCTTAATTCATGATGTAACTGGACCCCGTAACTTACCGGAAGTTAGCCTTTGGGTCAGCGGGTTTTCTCACTATAGTTCCTTCCGTGGTCTTCAGAAAGATGTTAGTGAAAAGGGGTCCTGATCCAGACCTCAAGAGAGGGCTCTTGGATCTTGCAAAAGAAAGAATTCAGGGTGAGTCCACAGAGTAAAGTGAAAGCAAGTTTATTAAGAAAGTAAAGGAATGAAAGAATGGCTACTCCATAGGCAGAACAGGCCCAAGGGCTCCTGGTTGTCCATTTTTATGGTTATTTCTTGATTACATGCACTAAGGAGTGGATTATCCATGCCTCACCTTTTCAGACCATTCAGGGTAACTTCCTGACTTTGCCATGGCAGTTGTAAACTGTCATGGGGCTGGTGGGAGGGTAACACGGAGGACAACCAGAGGTCATGCTCATCACCATCTTGATTTTGGTGGGTTTTGGCCACCTTCTTTACTGCAACCTGTTTTATCAGCAAGGTCTTTACGACCTGTATCTTGTGCCGATTTCATCCTGTGACTTACAATGTCTTAACCATCTTGCAATGCAGCCCGGTAGGTCTCAGCTCATTTTTCCCAGCCCCTATTCAAGATGGAGTTGCTCTGGTTCAAACATCTCTAACAACGATAAGCTCCTTTTGGGGAGAAAAGGAACACACAGGTCGGGTCAGGGGTGGCTTTCTACATGTTTTTTAATTAAAAACTGGAAAACCACAATAAGATATCACCTCACCCCAATTAGAATGGCTATCACCAAAAAGACAAAAAGTAACAAATGCTGGTGTGGATGTGGAGAAAGAATTTTTATACACTGTTAATGGGTATGTAAATTAGTATAGCATTATGGAAAACAGTATGAACGTTCCTCAAACATTTTAAAATAGAACTACCATATGATCCAGCACTTTCACTATTGGGTATACATCCAAAGGAAATGAAATCAATAGTATGTCAAGGAGATATCTGCACTCCCATGTTCATTGCAGCACTATTTACAATAGCCAAGAAACGGAATCAACTTACGTGTCCATGAGCAGATGAACGGAGAGAGAAAATGCGGTACATATATGCAATAGACATTATTCAGCCATAAAAAAGAATGAAGTTCTGTCATGTGTAGGAGCACAGATAGACCCAGAGGACACTATGTTAAGTGAAATAAGCCTTGTACAGAAAGACAAATATCACACGATCTCACTCATACAAGCAATCTAAAAAAGTGGATCTATAGAAGTAGAGAGTACAATAGTGGTTATGGAAGGCTGGGGAGCAGAGGCGGATGTGGGGAGGGAAGAGGGAAGTGGGGACGCGGAGAAATTGGTTAGTACAACATTACAGTTAGATGAAAGAAATAAGTTTAGGTATTCTATTGCACAGTAGGGTGAGTAGAGTTAACAATATTGTATTGGAATTTCATAATAGCTAGAAGAAAGTATTTTTTAATGTTCTCATCACAAAGAAATGACAAATATTTCAGGCAACAGATATGCTAAATACTATGATTTGATTATTTACACAATGTATACATGTATTGAAACATCACACTGTACCCCATAAATATGTACAAATCTGAATAGTAGGTTAAAAGTAAAGCATAATAAAGTAGGAAAAAGACCTCAAACACTAAGAAAAGTTTTCACCAATTTGTCAATAACAATAATAGTAGTAAAACTAATGGTATAGCAGTATTATTTGCAATAGGATTGGTTCTGTTTTTCTGTTTCTTTGTTCACCAGAGAAACAGAATCAACAGGAGATAGATAGATAGATAGATAGATAGATAGATAGATAGATGATAGATAATAGATTATAGATAGATATTACATAGTAAATATTACATAAAAATAATACAAATTACATATATGTTATATGGTAAAGATTATATATATGAATATACATATTAAGAGATTCTTTTAATAAGATAATGGCTCACACAAATATGAAGGCTGAAAAGTCTCACCATCTACTGCCTGTGAGCTGGAGACCCAGAGGAGCCAGTGTTGTAGTTTGAAGGCCTGAGGGCTGAAGCACCAATGGTGTAGATTCCAGTCTGAATCTGAAGGCCTGAGAACCAGAAAATCCCAGGACAGGAGAAGACCAATGCCCCAATTAATGCAAGCAATCAGAAAGAGGGAGACTTTAATACTCACTTTAGAGAAGAGTAATACAAAAATCAAGGATCTTAGCATCCTTTTTTTTTTTTTTTTTTTTTTTTGAGACAGAGTTTCACTCTTCCACCCAGGCTGGAGTGCAATAGCGTGGTCTCGGCTCACTGCAATCTCCGCCTTCTGGGTTCAAGGGATTTTCCTGCCTCAGCCTCCCGAGTAGCCGGGATTACAGGCATGCACCACAACGCCTAGCTAATTTTTGTACTTTTAGTAGAGACGGGGTTTCACCATGTTGACCAGGCTGGTCTTGAACTCCTGACTTCAGGTGATCCGCTGGCCTCGGCCTCTCAAAGTGCTGGGATTACAGGCGTGAGTCACCACTGCCGGCCTAACTTGCATCCGTTTTAAGAAGAAAAATGAGTTCCAAGTGGATTTTAGATCTATTGTGAAAGACAATGTTGAGAAAGGAGAAAATATAGGAGAATATCTTCATGACCTTTGTGTAGTCAAAGATTTCTTAAATAAAACAAAATGAAAAAATACACACTAGCTATAAAGATGAAAACCTTGACTATGTTTGAATTACCTTCTTTCATATGCAGTAACCATTAAAAGAGAAGCCCTAGTAAGAAAATACATGCATTACAGAACCAACAAAGGACTCATATTCAGCATATATAAAAACACATTCAAATCAGAAAGAAAAAGATAGACAAAAGAAAAATGGGCAAGCAACATGAATAAACACTTCATAAAGAGGATAATGAGGGAAATTATCTTTAATTGTCCTCATATCCTTAAATTATTATTAACTGTTAATGAGAGAAATGCAATTAAAACCACTGAGATATAACCATATCCACCAAAATCAGTAAAATTAGAAAAACTGACAATAGCAAGTGTTGACAAGGATGTGGAGCAATGGGACCTTTCACACACAGTACTGGTGTGCACAAGTTATTATCCACTTTGGAAGATAGCTTGGCATTTTCTACTAGTTAAATATATACATATTCTATAATCAAAAATCCCAATCTGAGGTATATGCTCAGTAGATACAGAGGCATATATGCACCAAAAGTCAAGAAGTGTTCATTGCAGCATTGTCTTAATGACTAGAAACAATCAAAATGTTCATCAGTAGTAAAATGAAGAAATAAATTGTGTTTATTCAGACAATGGAATATTATACAGCAAGGAAAATGAACAAACAACAGCTACATGCAATAACATAAATGACTTATAATCAAAATGTTAAGCCAAAGAGACAAAAAAATGGTTTGTTTACATGTATTCAATGTTAAAAAATAAGGTAAAACTAAACTATAGCATTAAAAGAAGGATCTTTAAGTGGTAAAGCTATAAAGAATGAAAATGGTCAACATAAAAGCCAGCATACCTTTGGCAAAAAAAAAAAAAAAGGATGAATTATAAATTAGAAGGAAGCGCCAGGACTTCAGGGGTTCTAGCAATATTCTGTTTCTTTACCTGGGTGGTGATTCTACAGTAGTTTTCTCTGTGATAATTTGCTGAGCTTTACAGCAAATGTTTATACTGTGTTATACTTTTCTCTATGTGTGTTTTATTTCACAGTAAAAGAGTGCATAAATATAACACAAATCTGACCTTGCCAATGGCCCCCCCTTGCCCTCAGATAGAATTTAATCTACTTGCCTTGGCTTCCAGACACTTCCAGATTGGCTCCTCCTTATCCCTCTAACCTTGTCTCTCTGCAACTCTGACATCACATCTGCTAGGGTCACAGTGAACTAACGGCAGCTTCGAGAGCACAACCTCTCACATCTCACAGTATTTGTAAATACTGTTCTCTATTTAAAGCTCCTTCCTCATCCTCATTTATCTGATGAAGGCTTAGCCACTTTTCAGGAGTAGCTTCTTCCTTGAAGCTTTTCTGCTCTTCCTTAGGTGACATGCGGGCCTGTGATTATCCTGTGATGACACCTGGATTCTACAGGACAGTTTGTCCTTCTAGGGCAGGGAAACTTTCTTACTTATCTTTTGGTCTTCAGAGCCTTAATCAGTGCCTGTCACATGGGGGTCCAAAGACGTCAAATACATGAAAAAAAGATGGAATAGTGACTTTATTCTTTTTTTTGTTACCCAGGTAGACAATGAACAACTGAATTTAGAGGAGGAAGACACTGAAAGCATTGATGCCACCAAATTGAGCCGTTTCATTGAAATCAACAGCCTTCACATGGTGACAGAGTACAACCCTGTGGTAAACAATATTTCCTGTTTTCAGCCCCTTCAGAGCCTGAGTCAGGAAAGGTACTGGTCTTCATAACAGAGGTCTCTTCCTCCCAGAGTTCCAATTCTTCGACCAATAATGACAGGAACTGCCATTAATTGAACACCTACTGTATTGTTTATGTTACTATCCTTCCTACACCTTTTTAAGATTTAACTTGTTCCTGTTAAACAAAAAACAGAGAAAAGTTAAATGAACTATCACACTGCTAGTAAGAAAGAGAACCAGAATGCAAAGTTAAGGTGACTGACTCAAGGCCAGGTGCAGTGGCTCACAACTGTAATCCCAGCACTGTGGGAGGCCAAAGCGTGAGGATCGCTTGAGCCCAGGAGTTTGAGACCAGCCTGGGCAACATAGCGAGACCTTGTCTCTACCAAAAACTTTAAAAATTACCAGGTACAATGGTGTGTGCCTAAAATAAAATAAGAGTAAATGAAAGACAAACAAAAAAAATGTTAAATGAAGCTCACTGATCACATATTTGGATGTCACAGCAGTGTAAAGTTTCTATAATTGTTTCTAAACACACATTTCATTTTCTGTATGTACCTCTTTGTAGACCAGTAACAAACAGCTCCTAGTCTGGCGGCAGCTGCAAACCATGCATTGACTAGTACGTGCCCACACGCTCACCATGCCTCAGTCTTCTCTCCTGGTGTGTCTGCCTCTGGTGTTGCATGCTGCATGCCATCTGGATAAAGGTGGTGCTCTACCTGTCCTGATCACCATCTGGCCTTCTAACACTCGCTGTAGACTATAACACAGTCCACAGAATTATCTTGTGTCCCATCCTTATTTTCCCTGACATAGATTATAGAATCTTACAGAGTATTAATTTCTAGTGATCTACATCAGCTCAAAACGCTGTACCTTCTATTCTCTAATAACAGTACTTTACATGCATGGTATGATTTTTGAGAACTTACAGAGCCCTTTCATCCTCATTTTCCCATTTATTCCTCACATTGATTTTTGTTGAGGTAGAAGAGAGGAAATTATTGTGCCCATTTTATAGAGGAGAACATTCAAGATCCAAGTGATGACATTATTCAAGGTCACATCATGAGTAAATAGAAAATGCATAATTTAAGGGACAAAAATGTAACTGATGCATTAGCACATTTTGCCAACTTCCATTTTACAGTAGAGGAAATGGGAGTTCAGAAAATTTAAGTAACTCCTTCAAAGCCCTATGGCTAGGAATTTGAGCTTCAGAGACAGCCTATGTAGTTGCCCTTGTTTTTTTATGACTGCTCCCTGTGACTGAATCCTGTAGTTTGTCTATTACCCTACACTGCCTTCAACAGAAAACACCCCTTTTCTTGTTGAATAAATTCTGGCCTACCTCTCACACCATCTTTATCTCTCTGGACTTGCTGATTCTATTTCCACTTCTGCTAAGGCTCCAAACACGTATGCCCCTGGGGTATTGGCAGCAATAATCAAAAAGGTGGTGTTCTCTATGTGGGGCCAGAAAAGATGATCTTTTCGTCCCTGGGCTATGGCCTCTGTGTCATGGCATTTTGCAAGCTAGCTAAGGCAGGGGCACGCACTGACCTTCCTGGTTTCTTATGCCTGATCTGTCTCTCATTTTGCACAACAATGACATATTTTTTAAGTTCCATATTAATTGGTGAAGGCAGATTATATCAAGAGAAAATTCAGTAAGAATTTCTTTAAAGAAGCAAGTTCAATTTCTATTGTTACTTTTTTTATTCCCTGAAAGTAATATTTTTCTCATTTGGAGAACTGCCCATTCTACTATAGCTGTTTCTCATCTGCTTCTGGTGCAAAGGTTTGCACCAGTAGCAACTGGGCAGAAAATCCCAGCCATGCACCTGACCTGCCACGCACTTTTAATGCACATACTCAGTACTTGGCGTCAACGTGTCTGTTAGGATTAAACTAATCCATTCGGCTATGGCCAATCCCTTCTGCTAAGATAACTGTACCTTTTGACGTACTCGTTTTTATTTCTTTACTCTTCCCAGGAATTATTCTCCATCTCAGCTTTAGAACGGTGAATGAATGCTCTAAATTTAAGTAGCAGGATTTAGTAAAATAAGAGTAAATCATGTATCATCCAATCTCCCAAATGAAAAATCTAAAACTTGATTTTAAAATCCATGGAGAAGTCTTTAGGAAAAGACCCATTTGGCCCTCCTTGCCTACATATTGTAGGCAGCCAAAAGAGCTGGACCATCTCTACAAGAGTGTGTATCTTCAGGAAGAATTCTGCCCAGCTGTTCTCTTCCTCCTAAGACTCTGCCCAAAGATTTGTTAACTCACCATGTTCTGTCTTCCCGTGTACACACTAGTTTTGTAGCAATGTTTTCTGAATTTAGGAGAGGTGAAAAGAAATGAGATTGGTTTAAAATAGACTTGCAGCATTATTTCAGGACAATGAAATGAAGGGAACCAGTGCCGTGGATTCCTCTCTTTTTCTTCTCCTGTCTCTGGTGGCTGTTCCACTCCTCTAAGTCATTGACAACTTCATGGAAAATCACCATCTCTAATCAGCAAAACAAGGTCAATGCTTCTGGTCTCCTGAAGAGCTCACCTTCTGTTGACCTTTGGTACAATGGTTCAGACACATTTGGGACTGAGTTGGTTTATATGGGGTTTTACTATCCACTGTGCATGAGGCAGTTCATCCTGATGATCAAGAGCATGAACTCTGGGGCTAGACCAGCTGGTGTGAATCCCTGTCTGCCATTTATTTGACTCTGAATTAGTTAGTCTACCTGTGCCTCAGTTTCCTCATTTGAAAAACTGGGACCTTGAAGATTAAATTACTTATTATTCATTAAGAGTTGGAGACAGTGCCTTCCACATAATGAACACTCAATAAGTATGAACTACTAATATGTACTCAAAGGCTACATTTTAAGTGTCTCTGACTAGTCTTAAAACAAGAAGCAAGGCTGAAACAAAGTGACTAATATGTTACATAGTGTATTAGTTATCTATTGCTGCAAAACAGATTACTCCAAATCTTAGGAGTTTCAAATACAAAACATTGATAATCTCATATAGTTTCTGCAGGTCATCCAATTTGGGGTGGCTAGGGTTAGGTGCTTCTGGTTTAAGGTCGTCTCTTGGGAGGTTGCAGTCATTGTTTAGGGCTGCAGTCATCTGAAGGCTCGACTGGAGCTTGGGATCTGCTTCCAAGATGGCTCCCTCACATGACTGGCAAGTCAATGCTGGCTAGTAGCAGAAGGACTTAGTTCCTTGCCATGCGTTTCTCCTCAGAGGACTGCTTGAGTACCCTACACTGGGGCTAGTATTCCTCAGAGTGAGAGATAGAGAGAAGAGCAGAGACCGTAATGTCTTTCAAGACTCACCTTGGAAGTCACACTCCATCATTTCTGCAACATTGTCTTGGTTACTCAGTTCCGTCCCATTCAGTGTGGGAAGGAAGGATTTACACAGTTGCATGAAAACAAGACTGTGAGACTTACTGAGAGCCATCTTCGAAGTTAGTTCCATTTGTGTTACCAGTGGCCAGCTCTCATTTATGTTTCAATCTACCTACCTATTCACTCCTTCCCAGGTACTAATGCATTCTTTCTCTCTCTTTCACTCTACTGTAACACATTTCAACTTGCCAGACTGTGATTGGGCTATTCAACAGCGTAATTCAGATTCATCTCCTCCTGATAATGAACAAGGCCTCCCCAGAGTATGAAGAGAACATGCACAGATACCAGAAGGCAGCCAAGCTCTTCCAGGGAAAGGTAAGGCAAGAATGGGAATATTCTATTGCATACACACCACTAGGACACTAGGAAAAGGGAGATGTGGCTAGGAAGCAGAGATAAATAAGGAAAACAACTACGGTTAGAAGATAGCAAAGCAAGAAGTAGGACATAATAAATCACATTATTCAGAACTAGAGATGTTGTATTTTATCACATTAAAGGCATACGTAATTATATCTTCCTGTAGTGATTAAGTCTGGGTTTTTCCTGCATTGATTAGTAGAGAGAAAATAGAGATCCAAAGAGACTGAAAATAAATCATCTATAAGTCACCATTTGTTTAATCTTTCCCATAATTTCATAGAGATTTAGACCTCAGGGCTCATTTCTCATATAAAACACCTATCAAGTACCTGGTGCCTACTCAATATACAATGAATATTTCTTTCTTTCCCTCCCCTCCTTTGTGAAGTTCTGCTTGATATCATTGAAATAGTAAAACTTCAACTACCTCAAGGTTACTGTGTCTAACTAGTGACTGTTCTAATGATGAGAACTGTCTGGTAATAAAATACGCTGCCTTTCTGATGGTTGGTTCTCTAACACTAGAAGTATTTAGTGTTACTGAAAGTAGACAGTCATCTGATCAGAATACTATAAAGAAGATTTCTACTTTGGGTTGAAGGTTTGATTTAATAATATAAAATAGTTTACATTTATCAAACACTTATGCACATTTATCAAACTATATGCCAAAAGCTGAATAAAAATATTAATGCGTTACCTCATTTAAGTTCCCCCACCAAAAGCCCATTTTGCCAATGAGAAAATTGCGTCTCGGAGAGGCTGAGTAATGTGCCCAAACTCACGTAGCTAGAGAGTACCAGAGGCAGAATTTAAAACGTGTTCTCTGCTCCAGGCTATACTTCCTTTCTTAGATAATCACTAAAGTATTTTCCAATTCTATATTCTTAAAATTCAATCAATCTAGTCAAAGCGATAAAACACCAAAACAACACAAAATAATAGGAAATTCATTTTTTTAACTTTTATTTTAAGTTCAGGGATACGTGTGAAGGCTTGTTACGTAGGTGAACTTGTGTTATGAAGCGTCGTTGTCCAGATTATTTCATCAGCCACGCATTAAGCCCAGCACCAAATTGTTATCATTTCTGCTCCTCTCCCTCATCCCACTCTTCACCCACAAGTAGACCCCAGTGTCTGTTGTTCCCTTCTTTGCGTTCATGAGTTCTCATCATTTAGCTCCCACTTATTTTGTTTTTTTGCAAACATCTGCTTTTTACTTTGCAAGCATCTGCTTTTTACTTTGCAAACATCTGCTTTTTTTCTTTTTACTTTAAGTTCTAGGGTACATGTGCACAATATGCAGGTTTGTTACATATGTATACATGTGTCATGTTGGTGTGCTTTACCCATTAACTCATTATTTACATTAGGTAATAGGACCTGGTGTGTGATGATCCCCTTCCTGTGTCCAAGTGGTCTCATTGTTCAATTCCCACCTATGAGTGAGAACATGTGGTATTTGGTTTTCTGTTCTTGCGATAGTTTGGTGAGAATGATGGTTTCCAGCTGCATCCATGTCCCTACAAAGGACACAAACTCATCCTTTTTTATGACTGCATCGTATTGCATGGTGTATATTTGCCACATTTTCTTAATCCAGTCTGTCACTGATGGACATTTGGCTTGATTCCAAGTCTTTGCTATTGTGAATAGTGCCACAATAAACATATGTGTGCATGTGTCTTTATAGCAGCATGATTTATAATCCTCTGGGTATATACCCAGTAATGGGATGGCTGGGTCAAATGGTATTTCTAGTTCTAGATCCTTGAGGAATCACCACACTGTTTTCCACAATGGTTGAACTAGTTTACAGTCCCACCAACAGTGTAAAAGTGTTCCTATTTCTCCACATCATCCCAGCACCTGTTGTTTCCTGATTTTTTAATGATTGCCGTTCTAACTGGTGTGAGATGGTATCTCATTGTGGTTTTGATTTGCATTTCTCTGACGGCAAGTGATGATGAGCATTTTTTCATGTGTCTGTTGGCTGTATGAATGTCTTCTTTTGAGAAGTGTTTGTTCATATCCTTTGCCTACTTTTTGATGTGGTTGTTTGGTTTTTTCTTGTAAATTTGATTGAGTTCTTTATAGGTTCTGAATATTAGCCCTCTGTCAGATGAGTAGATTGCAAAAATTTTCTCCCATTCTGTAGGTTGCCTGTTCACTCTGATGATAGTTTCTTTTGCTGTGCAGAAGCTCTTTAGTTTAATTAGATCCCATTTGTCAATTTTGGCTTTTGTTGCCATTGCTTTTGGTGTTTTAGACATGAAGTCCTTGTCCAAGCCTATGTCCTGAATGGTATTACCTAGTTTTTCTTCTAGGGTTTTTATGGTTTTAGGTCTAACATTTAAGTCTCTAATCCATCTTGAATTAATTTTCGTATGAGGAGTAAGGAAAGGATCCAGTTTCAGCTTTCTACTTATGACTAGCCAATTTTCCCAGCACGGTTTATTAGATAGGGAATCATTTCCCCATTTCTTGTTTTTGTCAGGTTTGTCAAAGATCGGATGGCTGTAGATGTGTGGTATGATTTCTGAGGGCTCTGTTCTGTTCCGTTGGTCTATATCTCTGTTTTGGTACCAGTACCATGCTGTTTTGGTTACTGTAGCCTTGTAGTATAGTTTGAAGTCAGGTAGCGTGATGCCTTCAGCTTTGTTCTTTTGGCTTAGGATTGTCTTGGCAATGCGGGGTCTTTTTTGGTTCCATATGAACTTTAAAGCAGTTTTTTCCAATTCTGTGAGGAAAGTCATTGGTAGCTTAATGGGGATGGCATTGAATCTATAAATTACCTTGGGCAGTATGGCCATTTTCACAGTATTGATTCTTCCTATCCATGAGCGTGGTATGTTCTTCCATTTGTTTGTGTCCTCTTTTATTTCACTGGTAGCTCCCACTTATAAGTGGGAACATGCGATATTTGGTTTTCTCTTCCTGTGTTAGTTTGCTAAGGATAATAGACTCCAGCCTCATCCACGTTCCCACAAAAGACAGGATTTCATTCTTTGTTATGGCTGCAAAAAAATTTATTTTAACTCAAGATTTCAATTGCATGGTGCAGACTATAAATTCAATCAGTGTAAGCTGCAACAATTACAAGGTATCTCTTTATCCACGGACCTCAGATAGAACTTTTTCTTTCAAACTTCCCCAACTGCAGATTCTCTTTATTCTGGTGGACAGTGGTATGAAAGCAAATGGGAAGGTGATATCATTTTTCAAATTAAAGGAGTCTCAACTGCCAGCTTTGGCAATTTACCGGACTCTAGATGATAAGTGGGATACACTGCCCAAAGTAGAAGTTTCCGTAGAGCATGTGCAAAACTTTTGTGATGGATTCCTAAGTGGAAAATTGTTGGTAAGTGTGAGACTGCAGGTAAAGCAAATTGTTTTCCTTCTATGTCCGTTTTATTTCCTGTTGAATAAGAATTCTTTGGGCTCAGAGAGGGAGGAGAGCCAAATGTTGGTTAATGGATACCAAGTGCAGCTAGATAGGAGGAATGTCTAGTGTTCTGTAGCACTACAAGGTGGCTGTAATTAAGAACAATTTATTATACATTTTCAAATAGCTAGAAGATTAGATTTTGAATGTTTCCAACACAAAGAAATGATAAATACTTGAGGCAATGGATATGCGAATTGTCCTGATTTGATCATTACACGTTGTACACATGTATAGAAATATCAGTCTATACCCCATAAAAACATAACTATTGTGTCAATTAAAAACAAAAATAAAAGCAAAACAATTAAAGTTAAAAAAATTATTTGAGCTCTACTGGATTTGATTAAAAGCAAAATTCTATGAGGATACCGTGGCCAGAGTCAGGATGCTTGTTAGGATAGAGTCGTGAGACACGAACTAGAAAAGCAAGTTTGGAAAGGCCTTGCATATTCAGAGGCTGAATTTTGGACTTCAGCATTTAGTTTAAAGTATTAATGGGCAACAAATCAAATTTCATATTAAATTAAAGATGGATTTAGGACTTCCAAGAGTAATTAAACAGCTCAGTTTACTAATCTAAGTATCATTGTTATAATGTTTTCCAGAAAGAAAATCGTGAATCAGAAGAAAAGACTCCAAAGGTGGAACTCTGACTTTTCCTTGGTGCTGCATATGACCAAGTACCTACTTTATGCAAAATAAAAAGGCACAACTCAGATCTCAGAGACACTAAACAACAGGATCACCAGGCCTGCCAACCACACACACACACACACACACACACACACACACGTGCACACACACACGCACCCACACACACACACAGAGCTTCATTTCCTTTCTTAAAATCTCACTTTCTCTTCTTCCTTCTTTTAAATGTCCTATCCTCACTCCCTACCCAATTTCCTTACTATTGTGCATTCATCCTCTGTAAACCCATCCATAACACACCTACATCAAGGCTTTAAGAGACTCACTGTGATGCCTCTATGAAGGAGAGGCATTCCTAGAGAAAGACTGTTCCAATTTGTCATTTAACATCAAGTTTGTGTACTGCACATGACTTACACACAACATAGTTCGTGCTCTTTTAAGGTTACCTGAGGGTTGAAACTCTACCTTCTTTCATAAGCACATGTCTGTCTCTGACTCAGGATCAAAAACCAAAGGATGGTTTTAAACACCTTTCTGAAATTGTCTTTTTGCCAGAAGTTAAAAGCTGTCTCAAAGTCTCTGAACTCAGCAGAAATAGACCATGTGAAAACTCCATGCTTGGTTGGCATCTCCAACTCCCCATGTAAATCAACAACCTGCATAATAAACAAAAGGCAATCATGTTATAGGAAAAGACTGGCATCTCTTTGCAGGCCAAACCTTTTGTAAATACCCAGCTGCCCAACTAAGCAGCATGTTCCTCACTCTGCAGTGCCCACTGTTTAGTGTCGGGCCATAAGCCACTAACATGTGATTGTTCACGCTGTGGGTGGGATGGGTGGAAAATAGAGACCATTCTGCATAAGGATTGGAACAAATGTGGCAACGGAGCTAGGAAGCAAGTTAGGTGAAAGGTTGAGGAGCAGATAGGAGAAGCAGGGCACTGGCAGTAGGACAGGCTGACGCTGACTGAGTCTTGGATTATTGCAGGTAAGGTATGCGATCCAGCTCCTGTGGGGCAAAAGGAGAGCTTGGCTGAGTGACTCTGGCCCACAGGCTGTTACTATCAACACACAGATGCTGCATTGTTCCCAGGAGGCCCTTGGCTCAGGAGGAAAGTGCCTAAGTGCTGAAGAGCTGAAAAACCACAGATGTACCTAAGGACTGGTCCAAGTGAGGAACAGGGAGTGAAAGGCTCAGTTGTTCTTTCGTGGGGAAAACTCCACAGCCCCTGGGTGGGAGTCAGCTGCTGGCAACCACACTGTGAAAGCCCCAGTGTAAGGCGTGCCCTTCAGCAACAAGACCAAGGGATTCTGTGGCGGTCACCCAGTCCATCCCAGAGCTACAGAAAACCACCCAAACAGCTTCTTGCTTGAGGCTGAAAAATACTCCTAAGATAGGCATATCCCAGAAGGCTCCTTTTGATCCTGTAAACGAGAACTCTTGACATTTACGGTCAGGAAATTCTTCCTGATATCCAGCTGAGGTCCTCTGGTCATGCAAGCTATTTCTTCTTGCCCACCCTTTGTGGAAATTCTTAACAGCTTCCAGATGCCCTCCTCAAACCGTGCCTTTAACCCCTTGCTGGCTGCACTGAAGCCCCTTTATCCAGCCATCTTTCCCCCACACTCACAATTTGATTTGCATCATTTGGTTTTTATCATTTGATTTAGCTCATTGTTTTTCTCTCCCCATTCTTTCCCAACTTTTCCTCTTTCTTGCTTAAATTAGTTGGAACCCAAACTGTAGTAGGACCCATAAACTACATTTTGTTTAATATTGTGCTAATTTTTCAATTATTTTTCTCAAAGTGTTCCCCTCAAAAACAATAATCAATACTGACCACATGGGTCTTAACATCTTTACAATGCATTTCTCTACTTGCTGACATTCAATAACAATTTTATTATGTTATTTTATATGTTTGTTTGGATGTGTATAGTATTGAATTGAATTATTCCTTCCCATCTTGTGGTTCTTCATAACTGCCACTTTACTTTTGCCGGTCTTCTTCATAGGCAGTCCTGTTCTTTGTAGCTCCGGGGGTCTCATAACCAAAGAATGGGATTTCAGAAAGAAGAAATTTCTAAAGGTTTTCACCCATTTATTAAAGATCAGATCTTTAGCTGGGCGTGGTGACTCACACCTATAATCCCAGCACTTTGGGAGGTCGAGGCAGGTAGATCACAAGGTCAGGAATTCAAGACCAGCCTGACCCACATGGTGAAACCCCGTCTCCCCTAAAAAAAAAAAAAAAAAAAAAAATTAGCCAGGCATAGTGGTACGGACTTGTAATCCCAGCTACTCAGGAGGCTGAGGCAGGAGAATCGATTAAACCTGGGAGGCAGAGGTCGCAGTGAGCCGAGATCATGCCATTGCACTCCAGCCTGGGCAACAAAAAAAAAAAAAAAAAAACAGATCTTTTAAACATCTGCAATTTTTTCTCTGTCTTGAGACTCTTTTGCCATGTCTACATCCATTTCCCCAGGGCTATGTTATTGTTGAGGTGTCTAGATACATTTCAGCTATTTTTCATTGTGGGATCATTCAATGGCTCTCACTGACAAGACTGCTATACTTTTTCTTTAGAGTACGAAGGAAGTGATAATACTATACAAGATAAATTTGAAAAAGATGTTAGCATATTTGGAAGACTATGATGGAAGAAGCGGGACTGAAACAGGACTCAAAGGAATGGAAACTGGAAAGTTTGGGTTTGAGTCTCACCTCTTCTATGTATGTGCCTCTGTGACACTGGAAAAACTACTTTTATCTTTGAACTTTAGTTTATTAAGGGTAATGTAGTAATTCTTAGTATTGCTTGAGATCCCAGGGTGATAATCCATATTAAGTAAAGTTTGACTATTACTTTTCTCTTAAGTTAATACTACATTGCCTTCTCTGGGAAATAATAAGTTCTCTAATTGTCAGAACTTATGGGAAGGCAGAGACTTCATTCAGGCTGTCTCTTTGAGGCTGAAAAAGTATTTGAGATAACAGATTTTAAATGTAGGTTTTATTGTTTTCTAGGTATGGGGTGGCCAACAGATCAAAAAAGATTGCCATTTGAAAGATAGTTTATTATTCACAGTTCCCAAGAGGAGGAAGCATGCCATGCTGTGCAGGGCCACAAGGGGAAGCATCAGGGTCAGTCAGAAGGCAGAAGGAGTAAGGGGGATATGACAAGAGCCTTTATTATGGTTTCCATTGGAAGAAATGGGAAAGGGTTAGGAGGGTAAGGAGGCTTAGGATTGGCTGGTTTTGATAATTTCAGTAGGCTCTGGGGCATAGGAGCTTCCCCTTGTTGCCTGGAACCTGGCCCTGGGTTGAGTGGCTGGGTGGTAGCCCAGCATGTGAGAGCCCCGTGAGAGTCCAGTAAGGAGATAGTTGGGGTGTGGACTCTGGACTGGTTGGTTTGCATATAAAAGCTATACTAGCAGATGAGTTTATTACTATCTCTAGGAACTGGCTATCTCTAGGAGGGAGGGGCAATCACTCCAAGGTAAGCAAAGCCCAAGATGTCAAAGCATTAGAAATACATAGACAGTAAAATAGCTCCAACCTCCACTTGTCAGGGGGTTCCTCTCCTACCTCACCTATTGGGTCATGCCAGAAGGGAAGGCTGCCTTCATCAGGACCATCTTAATACACATATACCTTGAGCAGTCAGGGGTAGAAGGAGGACTATGTAGCATATTGAGAGAGAGTAGTTTATTTATATACTCATTCATTCGTTTAAATATTCATTAAGCAACTATGAGTGTGCCAGGCAAAGCTGCCCTCTGAGAGAGAGAGAGAGCAGTTGGTGATGACTGGATGACGAGCTGTAGGACAGAGACATTTCAGTTGTAGTGACAACAGGAAACATGGAAGCCACCGGAATGGTTCTGGGTCATGGACAGAAAGCAGCCAAACAGGGAAAGCAATACACAGGGAAAGAGGTATGTTGTGGAGGGAACTCAGCAGGAGGTTGGCTGTGGGCTGAGGGGGCCCCAGAGCTGGGGGAGGAGGAGCCACAAAGGAAACAGTCCACAAGCTTCATTAGCAAACTTTATTTCACAATTGAATTTGGAACCAGTCCTATTTATTTCACCTTTCTGAAAATATCTGGTTTTCTAAACAGAGAAAAGTAAGACTGGAAGTGGTCTGGATCTGACCCATGGCTCCTAATTGCAGAAACTTTACATGGAGAGACCTAGAGAATAGGAAAAGGAGGAACTTAAACACAAACACCTTTTGAGTGTTGAACCTTTGGAGAAAAGGTACTCTGGAAATGAAAGAAGCAAGTGAATTTTAAAATCATACCTATGTAAATTTGAAGGTGATTCACCCTCCTTCAAATCACTTCTAAGATAGGCCTCTCTTTTCTTTCTGTTCTGGAACAAGAAGTCATTGTTTTTGGGGGCTTGACAATGAAATATCTGAGTCATACTAGGGGTGGAAGGATATGGATGAGTAAAGGTTGAGGGTGTTAAGCCACCTCTATAGGTTATGAAAAGTTGTGTGGAATTCAGGCTTTAATGTTTAATTATCCAAACAATTGCAGTGAATCTTAATAGCAGGATTTAATTTCTACATTAGCCCACTGGTCTCAAAATGGTAATATGGTGTTAGCCTACACTTAAGGAAGTAAATATAGAGCATGTTTGACATAATTCAAGCTCTGGTGAAGTAACAATTTTAAAATTAACATTGTATTACAGGTCATGTTTTCCAAGAAGACTCTGCAACTAAACTCCATTGCAAGGAGTTTATTGGGGAGCTCCTGGGGATCTGTGCAGAAGTAAAGAAAGTAAGGGTTCCACAGAAATATGTTAGACTGTGATGCTGTCACAAGAAAGGCTTAGATTGTCCCACGTGGATATTTGGTGCTGAGGTTTCCTTGTAGTGTGCCCCAAATTGGAGAATGAGACCCAGGCCTCTATACTCCAACACTGAACATTTGATGAGGCCAGCTGCACATAGGAAAGGTGCAGGCTGGTGGGCAAGATGGCTCATTTGAGCAGAGGGAGATTTCTGGGCTGGTTGGTGGGTTGGATTCAGCTAAGAGTTCTTAGCTGTCAGCATACTCAGAGCTGGGAGAAGCTAATGACTTTGGGGTGATCTGTGCAGCTCACCACAGCATCCACTACACATGCCTAGAACAGTTATCCTCTTTTATACCATCATAGTTACTGCACCAATGCTATGCGAAAGAATAAGGAAGGCATGGGCCGGGCGCAGTGGCTCACGCCTGTAATCCCAGCACTTTGGGAGGCCGAGACGGGTGGATCACGGGGTCAGGAGATCAAGACAATCCTGGCTAACGTGGTGAAACCCCGTCTCTACTAAAAGTACAAAACATTAGCCGGGCGTGGTGGCGGGTCCCTGTAGTCCCAGCTACTCAGGAGGGTGAGGCAGGAGAATGGCGTGAACCTAGGAGGCGGAGGTTGCAGTGAGCCAAGATTACGCCACTGCGCTCCAGCCTGGGTGACAGAGCAAGACTCTGTCAAAAATAAATAAAGAAAGAAATAAAAATAAAGAATAAGGAAAGGATGGATTCATTTTATCAAATAAAAAATGTAGCACCCTCATTAAGTTTGTGCTGGGGGAGAACACGTCTATGTTGTCTTCACTAAAAGGTAATCCTGCCAGGGGCAGTAAAAAGTATTCACTTTACAATCATTCACTCATTCATTCCCTCACCAAGCATTTATTGAGTGCCTACTAAGAGATAAAGATCTATCAGGAAATAGATCTGGCCAGGTGCAGTAGTTCACAACAGTAATCCTAACATTTTGGGAGGCTTAGGTGGAAGGATCACTTCAGGCCAAGAGTTCAAGTCTAGCCTGAGAAACATAGTGAGACCCTGTCTCTACAAAAAATAAAAAATGACCAGGGTGTGGTGGCATGCACCTGTAGTCCCAGCTACTCAGGAGGCTAAGGTGGGAAGGTTCCTTGAGCCTAGGAACTCAAGAAAATAGATCAGACTCACAAAGCATAACGTTGACTTCATATCTTCTCCTCTCCAGCCATCTGCTTCCTTAGTGTAAGATAATGATGAAGTTCACTGGGAACTTGAGGAATGGCCTGAATTTCTAATGTATTTAGTAGATACTCAAATATTTTCATAATAATGATGATGATGATGTATACATAATATGTAACTTGGGAGTTATAGTAACTTGGGAGTAGCAACTTGTAAGTAATTTGGGAGCGAGCAAAAAACGATGTTAGATTTAACTCCAAATTCTGACCTTAAGGCTTATTTATGCCAGCTAAATTTCATGGAGGTGATCTTGATCTTATTTGTTGTTAAATATCCCTTGCCTTTATGTCCAGTGTTGATAGTGCCTTACCTTCCTGTCTTCATTTCCTGCTCCTCACTCCTACCACATCCTCCTTTTTGCTAATAGTTTCCCACCCTGTGGTCCATCCTTTACTACTTTCTTACCAGTTAGTTCATGGCCTCTATCTCTACTTCTCCCTCCATCTCCATCTCTTCCAATAATGTTGCTCTAGGTCACTACATGGGACAGAAGTTCAGGCAGGTTGAAGGCTGAGCACAAAGGGGAATGATCAGGGAAGGAAGTCTCTGGAAGGAGGTGGATACATATTGAACAGTATACTGAAAGTTCTGGCGCTGTCCTGCAGTCTCTACCCTGTATGCCATGACCATCAGAATCGTATTGGTTCCAAAGGGCACTCCTTTGAGACCTACATACCTTTTACTCCACCACACGTTGGCAAACGTGTCACGGAATGAAAATGGGAAAGAATAACTACTTGTGATCTAACTCCTCAGACCTGCAGCCTCTCTTGGATTGACTCATTCTCTTCACTCCACACTCTTTTTTCCCATAACACCACTAATAATATACCAAGGCTGAAGAAGGGAAGAGGCTAAGTCAGCCAACAAGCGGTAATGTTAGGTGTTCATGGGAGGGCAGGGTGGTTTGTGGTAGGATATTTACATGATTGTGAAATACAAGAATGGTGGTGGGCGATAATATGATGTTGGCTTGTAAGGTGAGTGCTGATCAGTCAGAGAATCACTGCTCTGTTGAAGCCAGCTGATGTTTAGGAAAGAATGGTAGCCAATATAGTTAAGGCTGGAGATAATTATGCAAGCCAGACAGTGTTAAAATGGCAATTTACTAAAGGCTATTTATAGTTTGAGAACTGTCTTATGACCCTCTAGTTCTCCACTTTCTCATTTTTCAATTTTCTAAGTTGAAAATATTCAGGTTCCTCAGGGTTTCCTCAAGAAGATTCACCATTTCTGTCTGTGTGATTCTAATTACAACTTTGTATCTTAACTTAGCCGTTTCTGGAAAGCTCACATCACAAAGCACAATTTCTATATGCCTCTCAAAATGTCTGATTTTAAGTTCAATGTTATCAAATTCTAAGCAGAGATGGAAATTTTAGGAAAGAACTTAAAAGGACTCTGTAACTGGATAACTAACGAATGAATGAGGAAAGCTGTGATAACCATCAAGCAGGCTCTTAAAAGAAATGTATTTGGAAGAGCCATTATTAGTTATGATTCTTAGTCATCAAAAACAGAATAGAACCCAAACCACAGCAAAGGCTATTTTGTTCATAGAGCTAATATTAATTTCTCATCCTCCTCTATAAATTTCTATGGTTCTGTAAAAGACACACCCCTTAAATAAAGATGCTAAAACATCCTTTGAGATAGTAGGTTTTATTTTATTTTATTTTTACTATAGAGAGATTGAGCCTCTAAGATCTGAACAAAGTGGTCGCAGTTGTATGAAAGGTAGGAAATTTCAAGGGAATGGAGAAATCTCCTAAGGATAAAGTCACTTTTCTAAGCAGCCGTTGTCTTCACCAATTACGGTGCTCAGCACTGAAAGGACTGTTAGGGTTTGGTTTAATTGAAACGTCTAGTCTTTTGCCGTCTGCCATTGGAAAATGATTGTGCATTGGAAGAGTCAAGGAAGGAGTATCATTCATCATGAAGGGGCCCGTGAAAGAATCTGTCTCTTTAAGCATGAAGAGTTAAATTTTAAAACAGTGAGTCTTAGAAATGAAGTGACTGTTCTGGTTCCAAACGTTGTACAGCTCCAAAATTAGCCCAACATGTTGAAGTAAATTAACTAGAAGCACCTTTTGTGAAAATGAACATAGTATTTAGTATTCATTTACTGTACAACTTCACTACATTTCAGTATTCATTTACTGTACAACTTTCCATTGTCCATTTCGGAATTCATTTACTGTTACAACTTCTCAAATTCCTATTAATGGAGGGGGTTGGTGGGAGATCATGGCCCACTCTAAAGAAAATTAGAGGAGGGATATTTGGGTTCTAATCCTGACTTCCCTGTGAAACTCACTATGCCATTTTGGGAATATCACCATATCTCGTTTTCTCCACAGGTGAAATAGAGTTCAAATTAATTTTCTTTTCTTTTCTTTTTCTTTTTCTTTTTTTTAAACAATTTTTGTCACAAGATAGGGTCTCACTCTGTCACCCAAGGTGGAGTGCAGTGGTATGATCATAGCTGTAACCTTGAACTCCTGGGCTCAAGCAATCCTCCTGCTTCAACCTCCTGAGTAGCTGGGACAACAGGCACTTGCCACCACATCCAGCTCAAATTAATTTTTGTCTCCTTAAAAGTATACTGTAGGGATTAAGCAAGATGAGGAATGGAAAGCATTCTAAAATGTAAAAATACACGTTGACTTTGGCTTGGACTCAGACATTCCTTAAACGCTGATTAAATACACACCTACCAGCTGGGCGCAGTGGCTCACGCCTGTAATCCTAGCACTTTGGGAGGCCGAGGTGGGCGGATCACAAGGTCAGGAGATCGAGAGCATCCTGGCCTACACAGTGAAACCCTGTTTCTACTAAAAATACAAAAATTAGCCAGGCGTGGTAGCAGGCACCTGTAATCCCAGCTCTAGGGCTGAGGCAAGAGAATGGCGTGAACCCAGGAGGCGGAGCTTGCAGTGAGCCGAGATGGCACCACTGCACTCCAGCCTGGATGACAGAGCGAGACTCCATCTCAAAACAAACAAACAAACAAACAAACAAAAAAACACCTACCTGCATCTAAATGCTGAAGCACTACTGAAGGCACCCTAAAATGGCTGAGGAGAGGGGAGAAGCTGGATCATCTCCAAATACAGAGTCTACCAATTACTAAAGAGTTGACTGGGGGCCGGGCACCATGGCTCATGGCCTGTAATCCCAGCACTTTAGGAGGCCGAGGCAGGGGGATCACAAGGTCAGGAGTTCGAGACCAGCCTGGCCAATGTGGTGAAACCCTGTCTCTACTAAAAGTACAAAAATTAGCCAGGTGTGGTGGCAGGCACCTGTAGTCCCAGCTATTTGGGAGGCTGAGGCAGGAGAATCACTTGAACCCAGGAGGCAGAGGTTGCAGTAAGCCAAGATTGTGCCATTGCACTCCAGCCTGGGTGACAGAGATGACGTCTCAAAAAAAAAAAAAAAAAAAAAGATGATTGTGAATCTATCCTCAACTGTGTGCAAATTGAATTGTTGCCACATTTATGTTCCCAACACACAGGAGCCAAAACTAAATGTCCCCATTTGTCAGGACTGTCAGGTAATTTAGTGATACATTGCTTTAATCTATGGCTGTGAACAGGAAGGTGAAAACATCTAACTTCTCTGAGACTCAGTTTTCTCCACACAAAGTGATGGAGAAAATGCCATAAGGGTCCTTCCTATCTCTAATCTCCTGAGTTCTGAAAACTGAAGGAAAAGGAGTTCAGAACTGATGGACTAACTAGTTCACGTCCCAGGCACCAGGCCAGACATTTTGCCTCTCTATTGTCTCCTCATAATGAAAATAACTTCAGTTCAGTTAAGGCCAATGCAGCCTTAATCTACTGCTGGTTTGTAAATCCGTCACTCGCCCCAACTCAAGAGCAGCTGATTCTATTTCTGTCTGACTTTCTGTGCCAAAACTCAACCCCCAGTTTGTTTGGTTTTAATAAATTTATTCTGTTGTTACGGACATTGTGTAAAATGGAAAAAAACAAGTCTAGACTGGTTTTAGTTCAGGAAGTTAGGGCAGGGTCTCTTTATTAAAAATAAACATCCTCCTGCTTGCTTCCTTTTCACTTTTCTCACAAATCTGTTCCCAAAAGCCCTTGGAATCCGGGACTCCAACATGCAATGATTGCCCCAGATCTCTGTACTACACCTGACCCCTTTCTGAAATATTTGAAGCCGAGAATACAGGAAGTTCTTAAAGGCAACAATACAGGTTGTATGTGACACAAAATTAATGACCTGATAACTACCCTGATAGGATCTTTTGGCTTCCTATAATAAAACTTGGCACAATCATCCCAGCAAATAAGGCACATTTTCAGTCTGAATCTCCTTGTGTTTTGGCACTCCCCGCCTTTCTAATTAAACATGGCGGCCTGCAACACTTCCTGTCCCTTCCAAACAGGAAAAGTTCCCTTGTCCGCCTCGCAGGGTGTGCGATGGAGGTGTGGCTCGCTTCTTCATTGTCCCGCTGCTCAAACCACTAGGGGAGCGTGAAGACGGGCAGGTTGTGGGGGTCCGGCCCCATGGCAGTGTCTAGCAGTGAATGTTTACAGCTCCTGAAGCCCCAGTGGGTGTGTGTTACAGGGTACTCTTTTAGTTCAGCCATCCGTAGTCGGCTTGCGTTAGCTCAATTAGACCCTCTACCTCCTCGCAGACAGAGGGCTTTCTGCATCCTGGGTTCTTGCCTTGGTGTACCACAAGAATCAGATCACATTTAGGCTTGGAGAATGAGTGCAAGGTTTTACTGAATGGGAGTAGCTCTCAGAAGATGGGGGAGCCAGAAGGGAGATGGTTTTCCCCTGGAGTCAGGCTGATCAGTGGCCTGGACTCTCCTCCAACCCTCGGAGCCAAATTTGTATCATTCTGCTTCTGCCAGTTGGTGACCTGCAGGTGTGCCAGTGCAGGTCAGTGCATTCCTCTCCACGTCCAGCTGCCTCTGGTCTGTCTGCTAGGGTTTTGGGCATTTTTTATAGGCACAGGATGGGGGCGTGGCAGGCCAGGGTGATCTTGGGAAATGCAACAGTTGGGCAGGAAATGCCTGTCTTCACCTAGGTGTGTGGGCATGGAGCCCTAGGGAGGGACCACACCCTCCTCTACCCAGCACTTCCATATCACCAATGGGGTATAACTCAATTCAGGGTGGAGTTTGTTTTCAGCCCTTGTCTTTTCGCCTTTGGGGTTTTCCTTTTTTTGGTGGGCCTGCCTCTTTCTTTTCTCCTCAGGGGATTTTGTGAAGTGCCATTAAAATACAAAAGCTTCTGATTAGTGAAGGACACAAGTGGCCTGCAAGAAGAAATACATTAATAAATATTTATTGTTCTTCAGCAAACACTTGGAAGAGCATAATGTGGCAGTTAGGCCCAAAGGCTCTGGGATAGAGAACCTGAGTATTTACCAATCGTGTGAACCTTCACAAGTCTCATTTCTCTGTGCTCCAGTTTCTGCAATGTAAAGTGCGAATAGTAACAGAACTAACCTTATAGGCTTATTGTGAAGATTTAAATAAACAGCACAAGTTAAGCACGTGGAAGGTGACTTGGCACAGAGCAAGCCTCCGTTGTTACACTTGAGGAATATCCCAAAGCACTCTGAAGTCACATACGTCTTAAGCTTTCTGTGTTTTTTCTGTTTCTGGTCTGTGCTAAGGCACTAGCTGTTCATTCTACCTAGAATACTCCCCACCTTCCCTCGCTGGCAGCCTCTCATCAGTCATCAAATGGGTCTCATGGAAACTCCCCATGCTCCTGGGCTCCCCTAACACATGGTGATACACCTGACTAATACAGAATTAATCACATCTTATTACTACCAGTAATTTCTATATTTGTCTATTTAAAAAAAAGCGTATAACACATATTGGGAACTCAATATATAGTTTAAATATCTCTGGGGTACATCCAAACACTAGTTCCCCATAGCTTCTTTCTGCTACCCTGTTCATGCTGATCTGAAAATGTGTGAACACATGACAGTGACCAGCCAGAAAGCACAGAGCTGTCTGGGGCATGAAGAAGGTCTTTGAGCACAGAGCTGGGGGACAGCAAGTGGGGACTTGAGCCTCAGGACCAGAACTGAGCAATTCAAGAGACTCCACGGAGTTTATCTTTTCAGTTTCAAAACTTAGTTTACTTACCTTCATGAATGAATTTGTCATAACCTATTGGTTTTCTCCCCTAAGAAAGTGTGTGTGTGTGTACGTGTGTGTGTGTGTGTGTGTGTACGTGTGTTTCCCTAGGAAGACCATACAAATTAGCCCCCTATGGGCCAATTAACGTTTTGGAATTTAGCTAGTTAACTAAAGAACCTTTGGGAATTGTAAGCTTAGGTTAAAACAAGGCATTTACTCATATAAGTAAACAATATGAGAAAATAAAAGTTTTTTATAAATGAATGTTTTAATAATGAATAAGAATACAATAATAAATAAGAAATGAATAAGGAACAGGACCAATAATTAAAAAGGCAAAAGAGAAGACAGATAAAAACAAAAGTAAAGAGAGAAACTAAAGCTTTTTTCCCTTGTGAAGTAACAAGGCACAAAATGTGGTTTCCATATCTCCCTCCCTCTCTGTATCTCTTTCTTCTCCTCTTACCGGCTCCTAGCTAGTGTGGCTCTGGGGATGATCACAGAAGCCCTAGGAGGTAAAGGACATAAACTATGTAACCAACAATTTAGACTAATCAAATCAACAAATATTTAAGGCAGTGTGGAGTCATGAAGAGAGCTCAGATCTGAGTTCTGATCATCACCCCAGCATGTATTGGTTCTACCTCTGAGCAGGTTAGCCTTTCCAAGCCTAAAATGGAGGTAACACTCATACCTGGAAAGATTTCTGTGAATACTAGAAATAGTATAGGTAATTAGGCATTTAATAAATAATAGATATTCTCATTTTATTAGCCTAACCAAGTATATAAAGCAATGCAAATAAAACACGGTTCCTAACTTCAACCAGATTCACAGGCAATAAACCTGTGATGCATTTAAAAATAGGACTAAAACACCTCAGGTAACTGTTTCCTGAAAATCCATTAGAAATTTTTCAAAAGCAAAAGAAGAGAAAGATTCTTTAAACTTTCTGTGGGGAGGGGGCAAAATGCTTAAGGCGTATAAAAGGTTGCAAAATTTGCCTCCTAAAACAAACATGCTATAATGACTTGGCATTTTGTTAGAAAATAGATTTTTACCCAAATATTTCTCAGGCTAATTAAACGCTGTATCAGTGGTCACATGTCCACAGAAAACAGAATTGATACTGGCAGGCAAAGGCGGGAAAAGGCATTCCAAAAGAATGGAGTGGTGTAACGCAAAGGACCCGGGTGTCTGAAATGATTCTGAGCTTTTAATCACGTCCCCCACAGCTACCCAGCCCCACTGGAAGAAACTCCTGACACTCTTGTTTATTTGGAGCTACCTTTCGGACTTTTTTCTATTTTCTTATAACCTTGCACTAGGCCTAGAGGCCTATTGCTGATCTCAGCTCTCGACTTCCTGCCCCATTTCCCATCTACAGTCTCACACTCTAAGATCCAACATATAATATAGTTTCCCTGGTTCTATTCCTTGGTCCCCTTCCTTGATAACAATTTTTACTTACCTCTTACATTGTATCTGTTTCTGGTCCCTCCAGAGGACTCAGCCTGATCCCTTGAGACTATTAGGACTAGAGTTCATGTTGAATCCTTGGTCCCTAAAGAGAGAATGGAAAAAGACATGGAAAATACAAGATATTTGTAAATTAATTTGCCCGAAGCAGAGTATTTGGGAAGTTGAGTGGTTAAAAACATTGGCAACACTTTTTGCAAAATTACAGAGTTCTTTCCACATTGCCTCTCTCATAAAATGCTTCGTGTTTGCCAAATTATATTAGCTGAGAAGACCCATGGCCCACCAAAGGCACAGTGACAGCCTGAAGCTGTGGATCTGAGGTTATGCCGGGTCACTGAACTGCCTGTGTAGCCAAAGTCAGCCTCCAGGGTGAGAAGGATTTTCTGTTGTCTGCTTAAAGAGGAGTACAAAAGTATTTATGGCTACAGTCATGTTTCTGACAACAAACCCAATCATAAGCCAACATTAAGGAAGTGATTTAGCAATACTTTTAGTGTGTCTCGGTCAAACAACAAATATGTATTGATCGCCTACTCTGTGCAAATCAACCCAATGGACTTATGTGGTTTAAACTCTATATATATCACTCAATTTTACTGATATTGTGCAATACATTGTTTGGTCTTATTACCGTTACTCGTGAAAGAGTCAAAAAAGAATAAGCAAAGGGAAATCATGGTCATTTCCTCCTAAAGGCTCATTTCTTGCATCTATCCCTGAATACCAAACGGTTGGTTCTATGGTGGAAGATAGGTGGGACCCATTTGGGGAAAAGGGTATTGCCATTAATTTTGAAAAAATAAATCGAAGTGTTTTATTTGGATGGGATGGCGACTCTCAAATTTGTATTTTCAACTAAGATTAAACACGGAACTCCTACTGCTTACTTTTTCTTTCTATCTAGATATCACAGAAACATCTCAACTCTATACTGGCTTATCTGTCTCCCTGCAAACTGTGAACTGCTCTAGATTAGCATCAATTGTGCAATCCAGAACAAAGTACCCATGCTTGACACCAGACCTTTACCCCTGCATTCGCTGGTTCACCACCACCTTCTAGAAAATTTCCATATCCCTCTTCTTCTTTCTTCCTCTTACACTTCATCTTGGTGTAAGTCATGATCACTTCTTACCTAAGCTGCTGCAATTCCCGACCCCTAGCTGATCTCCCTATATTAACTCTTACCACTCTCTAATCTATTCTCCGCAGTGCTTCCAGATTCATTTATAAAAAACACCATCTGTTTATGTCTCTCTTGTCCTTCTTAAAGTTCTGAATCATTTCCAATCACTTAAAGATCTGTTTAAAAAATCAGTTCTTTTGCATTTTTACATGGACCTGCCTAAATCCCCTGCCTCATCATGTGTCTTTTAATACTTTGAGCCTTGTTCCACCTTACAGCTTACATAATTACTGTTCCTTCAGCCTGTAAGACTCTCTCTTTCTGGTCTTACTTCCCCCTTTATCCATTCAACTCTCATTTATTCTTCAAATTGCAAATCAAACATGCTTTTTAAGAGTTTTTTTTCTAACCCCCTAAACTAAGTCTGGATCCTCTGTCATGTACTTTCCTAACTCTCTATACTTTTCCTTCATTAACTTTATCAAATTTCATAATTGCACATTTTTATGATGATCTCATGCCACAAAACTGTGTGTCCCACCAGGGTAGTGATCTACCCATCTTGTTCATTAACACAGTACAGCACATAGATGAACATCTATTGGGGGTGGGTAGGGTAAGCTAATCCAGACAAACATCCTAATAATAAGTGAACTGAAGATTATGTGGAATCGGTGCAGACCCTCAGAGTAATTCCTCTGATGCTTCTGTTTTAGCATCTGCCACTACCTCATATAAAATTATTTACTTATTTTACTACTTTAGTGTTTGTCTCCTCTATCAAGCTGACTTCAGCTTTTTGAAACAGCATTAGAGGAAACCAGAAAATCGTGAAAAAGAAACTTCAAAGTATGAGGGAAACCAAGTTTCAAACTAAAATTGTATTTCTAACTAAACTATCATTTCAGAGGAAAGACAAAATAAGTCTATTTTTAGACAATTATCGTGATTGCTTACCACTCACAAACCCCTGTTGATAGAAGCTTTACTTCAGAAAATTGTACAATGATAGAAAAAATTGAACGCAAAGAGATTGTAAGCATGCATGTAAATCAAAGCACATGGTGACTGTATAAAGTATTAAGGATAATAGTGAGTAATTACAGCAGTGCTTTAATTGTCATTAAAACATTTAAACTTTCTTGTATTGCTCAAGGGGTATATAGAAATATTGATTAATTTTTTATTGTGTTAAGAAAATATAGATGTTAATAATTCAAAGAAACTCTCTTAAAAATTGATAAGCTGGGTGTGGTGACATTCACCTGTGATCCCAGATACTCAGGAGGCTGAGGGGAGGATCCCTTGAGGCCAGGAGTGCAAAGCTGCAGTGAGCTATGATCACATCATTGTACTCCAGCCTAGACAGCTGAGCAAAACTTTGTCTCCAAAACAAACAAAGAAATAAAAATTTAGTGATTCCTCAAGGATCTAGAACTAGAAATACCATTTGACCCAGCCATCCCATTACTGGGGATATACCCAAAGGATTATAAGTCATGCTGCTATAAAGACACATGCACACGTATGTTTATTGCAGTACTATTCACAATAGCAAAGACTTGGAATCAACCCAAATGTCCATCAGTGACAGATTGGATTAAGAAAACGTGGCACATATACACCATGGAATACTATGCAGCCATAAAAAAGGATAAGTTCGTGTCCTTTGTGGGGACATGGATGCAGCTGGAAACCATCATTCTCACCAAACTATCACAAGAACAGAAAACCAAATACCGCATCTTCTCACTCATAGGTGGGAATTGAACAATGAGATCACTTGGACACAGGAAGGGAAGCATCACACACCGGGTCCTATTGTGGGGGCGGGGAAGGGATAGCATTAGGAGATATACCTAATGTAAATGACGAGTTAATGGGTGCAGCACACCAACATGGCACATGTATACATATGTAACAAACCTGCACGTTGTGCACATGTACCCTAGAACTTAAGGTATAATAAAAAAAAAAGGTAGATATTATATGTAAAATTTACAAATTAATAAAGGGATACAATTAAATAAAGAAGTCTCACATAAACCAATAGAAGTATGAAATTACTTTTTTAAAAAATATGCATTAAAGGCTTAGCAAATAAAAGCACAAAATAATATCTTAGAAATAAACCAAAATATTATAATGACAATAAATGTAAATTACCTTGATTTTAAAATTCTATTGATAAGCATTAACAAGACAGTTAAATAAGATATAAGGATTTATAAAAATATAAACAAAAGCATTAGAAAATAACAGCAACCAAATACTTAGCTAAAGAAAATTGTTAAAGTGAAATTTAATTAATATAAGTTACTATAAACTTTAAGGGAGAAAGCACTGTTATAGAGAAGAGACACATTGAATGACAACTGAAGGAAAAATTAACTGGGAGTCCATAAAAATTCTCAATTTATATGTAGTACCTAAAAATATATCCTCAAAATATATAAAGCAACATTGGAAAAATTGCAAGATTTGAAAAATCTGTAATTAGAACTACAGATTTTAATCATTAATGAGCTAATCAAGCACACAGAATAATTTAACAAACCAAGGAAGTTTTGAGTAATACAATTAATTAATAAGCTTGCCGAAATAAGCATTTATACAGTTTTGCATCCAATAATTAAAGAATAAACCTTTATGCAAATATGAAAACTTTATAAAAATTGACCATGTATTAGGCCATAAAAAGCCTTGAAAAATATCAAAGAATAAACTTAATAATCATCACATTCTCTAACTAATATGCAATAATTCTAGGAATCAATATCAAAATATTTTAAAATCCATGCATTTAGCAAGTTATAAACACAAACTAAGTCATAAAAGAAACAATATTTAATATATTTTTTAAATTTAAAGATTTCCCTTTTATATAAACTGTACCAGAGAATAGAAAACAGAAGAAAGTCTCTGCAACTGATATTATAAGGCTAGCATAATTTTTCTATCAAAATAGGCCAAGAATAGTATAATAAAAGAAATTTATTTCAAACCTTGCTGTATCTTGTATCTTAAATGTTTCTCTTAGAGACCTCATATTAGACCTCCCCACCTAAATGGTGAATTTGGCCTATTTACATGAATTAGAATTGCCACTATATTAGGACTACTTTCTGCAGTAAAATACTTTTTACATCATTGATGAAAGATTTTCCCATGTACTTATAATTATTTGTTTATAAGACTTTTTATCCCTCTATCAAGGGTAATTTTCTTGAGGAAAGATATCAACTCTAACAGTGTTTGGCATACAATAAACAGTTTGTGTTTGTAGAATAGAGCAAATGAATGAAATATTATGATTACCCTCAGAAATTCCCATCATGGATACGTTAACTTGTTTTTATAAATTCAGTTTAGCAAGTAATTATTAAGTGCTTACTATTTGCCAGGCAATGCAGCATGTGTTATATTGGAATACAATTATGAGTTGAACATAATCTTCACTCTTTAGATATCTACAATCTAATATAAACAATGCATACACAAACACATAAATATGCACACAGAGAACTAGTCTAAGTCAAGTAAAGTCCAAGGCATGAAAGCCTCTAGTGTCCCTCTGGACAAAATCAGTTGACACCTCTAAGCCTCCATTTTCCCATAAGAACTTTATAAAAATAAATTATATTATTTATATCAAGGTAATACTTTAAACTATATTTTATAGTCATGTGCTTGTGTGAATTTTTATTATAGATTTGCTCAGTTGTTTGCATACGTTTTATTCCTGGTCCTCTTCAAAGATGCCTATATGAGTAATAGAAATTGCCTTCTTTTATGCATGTATTTTATTTTTTAAATATCCGTGCATGCTGTTAGTAATAATTTTTTGCCTTAAAACATCTTATAGGCCCTAGATAGTTTAAAATAATATGCTAAGGCCTATATAAATTTATTTAGAGAATCACTGAAGTGTTTTAATTTCTTTTTCTTTCTTGGTCTTTTCTTTCAGGACACTTGAAACACCTTAGGGTTCTTTAACTGCCATGTGTTTGAGCAATTAATTCTAATCTTACACCATATGGAAACCATTCCTACCAGTCAGCCTTGCCAGACCTATTCATGGCAGCTTATGCGGTTGCTATCTTTTTGTGCAACAGAAAGACACGCTGGCAAGATGAGCAGTGAGTCAGATATTTTACTTATCTTTAAACCTACACAGGAAAAATCCCAGCCAGATAAACTGTGTCTGGCCCTAGAAAGGGTGAGTCCAGCCACAAAGCATAATTCAGAGATCAAATGCAGGCACTGAGAAATCCAAACAAAACTGCCAGATTAGCTAAGGTCAAAACTGACCTCCAGTTGTTCCAGGAACATTTTGATTTTTGCACCATTGTCCATTTGATTTATTTCTGGCAACAAAACGCTAAGTGTTGAAGCGCTGCTGTTCTCGAGAGTCCATGGTATAGAGATGAGCCAGTATTTGTATCGGAGTTCGTACTCCTTCCCGAGAATCACTGGCTTTGAAACACATATCCCCAGAAATCCTCTACCTCCCGCGCTGACCCTGTGAGAACCATCGTATGGCATCGTCATCTGAGGATCAGAAGAAAGTACTGAAATGTATTCCAACAAATACAGCACAACTTCTCGGAAAAGGAAAAGTGATACAAAATCCTCTTCCTTTCAGCTATTTGGTAAATGTTCTGCAAACATGCAAAATTTGCAGAGAGCAGTCTTGGGATAGCTATACTCTTTTTCCCAAATTAACTTTTTGTTGATTACTTATAAAGAATACATATATACTTTTCTTTTTCCAACTAAAAATTGTGCTTTGTTTTAAGCAATCTGGCATAGATAAGAGGCTTGTTTTGATGGACCAGAACAAAAAGTGGAGAAAACAAAGAAATAAAACACTACTTAATAAATATTAGCTATTCCTATTACTGGCATGAAAAAGTTATTAAATCAAGTAATTCTATCCCTTGGCAGTCTTTCAGATATTCTTGTTTTCTTTTCATCGAACTTCTAATATTCATAGCGCTCTCCTCGGGGTCGGCTTCTTTACACAATTTTATATTGCATGCATACGTCTACTCCTGCTAATCAATATGTGAAAATACAGATGCAAAGAAAAACATGTAAGGGGACACTTTATATCCACACACAGTAAGGGACTGTGTTTCTTATTTTACCCTTCCAGAGGAATTATTGCTATTCAAGTCGTTTCACTAAGATTTTTCTTTAAAAAGAGTGAATTTTTACAGGTATTTTGTCATAATTTAATTTTATGACATTATCTGGAAGCTTCTCAGGAATATTGCTATTTCATAAAAATGATAATCATTTAATTTAGCAGTTTGATTGCTGCAAAAGTCAAGGGTAAAAAATAATAGTGAAATAGCATTTTTCTTTTATTTGACATACAATGTAATGATTTAGCATTTCAAATTACAGCAATTTCCTATCTTCACAAAAGGCAGAGATGTTTCAGTTAAAGTTCCTAGACTGCTGTAGTGGGTTGTTAAGGGTAACTTCATTGAGCTTTTGTGGTGTTTAAACACTGCACTGGGTTTGTAGGATCAGCTCAGTTCAAGAAACATAAATAAGCACTTACTGTGTGCCAGATGATGTGTAAGAAATAGAGAATACAAAGATGAAAAAGATAAAATCCCTGACATCCCTTGTGGAGCTTAACATTCTGCATTGAAATCCAGTAAGAGCAATGAAAAAGTATCATGACTAGTATGAGAAAACTGAGGCATCTAACTGAAAATGCAATTCAGCAAGAGAATTCTCTCTTCTTTCAGCAAGAAAGAAGTCTTTCTAGAGATGACAGTTTCCTAGATAATGAGTCAGAATCTTTTGGGTAAATGAGTATGGGGTGAAGAAGAAGAGGAGACAGGTGATTGTACCATGAATAGCTGGGAGGAGTGTGTGCACAGATGGGGCACAGAAATGCCTGTAATTCAAAAAAGAAAGTATGTGCCAGTAAAGAAATAAAAGTGCTAAGGGAGGCCAGGCATGGTGGCTCATGCCTGTAATCCCGGTACTTTGAGAGGCCGAGGCGGGCAGATCATGTGAGGTCAGGACCAGCCTGACCAACATGGTGAAATCCCATCTCTACTAAAAACACAAAATTAGTCGGGCGTGGTGGCGCATGTCTGTAATCCCAGCTACTCAGGAGGCTGAGGCAGGAGAATCGCTTGAACCGGGGAGGTAGCGATTGCAGTGAGCCGAGATCGCGCCATTGCACTCCAGCCTGGGCAACAGAGCAAAACTCCGTCAAATAAAATTAAAAAAAAAAAAATGTGCTAAGGGATTTTTTGAAGGAAGGAGAAATAACACCTGGTTGAGAAGCTTATGTAAAACACCATGTAGCAGGTGGTATTTGAGCTAAGCCTTAAAAGATACCCAACGTTCCTATAGA